CCTTTTTTCTTTTCTTAAATTAATTCAAAATAAGTCAGGAGTTGTAGACGTGGAGCTACTGTGTTCCTGCCAATGTGAAGCTTTGAGTGATAGTATAGTAATGTGGGTTCATTATTATAATAAATCACTTATTAGGCTATTTAACTACGAAAATAGATTATTTTTTTAAAAAATATTTAATTTATTCACAAATGTTTTCAACATTTTAGGCTTTTATTCGTAAATTTCTATTACTTTTTTTCAGTGGAATATTTAGGAAAACTAATGCTTTAATACTCGAGTTTTTACAAGCTGTACATCAAAACTATTGATAATCCATTGAATTATTTGTTTATATGTAAAATTTGTGAATTGAAATAAAATATTGGATCATCATCATATTTGGCACGACGAACAACCCAAAGCCTTCTCTTTTATCCAAATCATTTTGATATTTCATTCCCCATAATTGAGCCATCGTTGTTTTGATTTTCGCCAAGTGATGGGCTTAGGAGCAATAAGTTTCGTTTTTGGATATTCCTCATTCATTCTGGAAATATCCACAGCCCAGTTCATAATTTTAAAAGTCTTGATGAGTTGATGATGTCGGCCTCTTCAAAAATTCTACACATTTCCGAGTTAAAACGTCTTCAATAAATGCCATTCGTACACTTAGAATACTTCAAAACTATCGTCCCACCATCGAATTATTTGCTTCAATCCAAAATATCTTCTCTGGTACCTTTTTCAATAACAGCAATCATAAAAATATTTATTTAAAATAAAAGATAAGTTACTGCACTAGAATCGATGTCAGGCAAAACAGACAGCAAAGTTAGTGGATAAAGATGTCTGTTAGTTGATGATTTCAATCATTTCCATTCATTCAAAGGATCTTTATTTTAGATCATTTGCTGCTATTTTAAAGCATTTTCTTTTTATTTCCAGTTTTATTTTCAACTATATTTCTAATTTTTAAATAACAGTTTATGTACTTAAATGTTTAACATTTAAAATATTAAAAACTTTTATTAAAAAAAAAAAGATCTTAATTAAGAAAATTTCTTTTATATTTTAAAAGATATGACGAGAATTTTTTTTAAAAATCTTTTTTAAAACCGAAGTTGAACAGCCGGCGCAATTTTGGATATACGACTACTAATGTTCAACTCCGTAGCATTGTAATTTTGAACCAAATTCAGAAGACAAGAAAACTCTCCTGGATCAGAACCCCCAGAGGTTTGATTTGTAATGGAAACATGGAGGACTTTGTGACTCGACAGATTTAACCAGCATCAGTCACCATTTACTACACGGGGAGTCTTCAGCCGGCGGGGATCGAACCCACGACCTCTTGGACTTGGGCCCAGCTCCTTACCAACCAGGCTATCCCAGCCCTAGATCACCAGAATTGACTTTAACCTTAAAAAGTCCGTGTAATGCACGTTAAATTTGTCGAGTCGCAAAGTTCTCAATGTTCCCATAACAAATCAATACTTCTGGGGGTACTGATCCAGGAGTTTCCTTGTTTTCTGGATTGGTTCAAAACTACAAGGCTACGGAGTTGAACATTAGTAGTCGTAAACCCAAAAAATTGGGTCGGCTGTTCAACGATGGATAAAATAAAATAAAAAATAAACACAACATAACCTTAAAAAGGAAAAAAAAAAACTAATTAAACATACAGTCGATAAGGATTTTTTTTATTTTTTGAGAGGGTCCATCTTTTTCGTAACTGATTTCTGCACCTATGAAATAATTATGTGCTGTTCAATCTTTTGGACCAAATTTATTAAAGCAAGTGATAATTCATAAATTTTGCTTACACTTTCAATCCTTAGCTACGCAGCTTTTTTTTTTCGTTTTAATGTTTTACTTTGCATAATTTTCGTTGTGAAATACACAATATTGGTGAGAAGACTTTGCTTTTAGATAAATACATTAGATTAATAATAGGAAACAAAAATTAATTTATAATGCAATTGAAACAAAAAGCCGGATCTTCCATAGAGGCGTGGCTCCGACGTCATATGTACGTCATGGATCGAACGCAACGAGTGACGTCATTTATCCGTAAACATTTGAAATTGGTTTCATTTCAGATCAGCGCATTTGAAAGGTATTTCTCCGAGACGAACATTTCATCGCAATTTAAAGAGAAGTTTTTTTTTTCTTTTTTTAATTTACTTACTACTTATGAGACATATTTAAATTTAATTCATCTTCATGTCAACTGCATGTATTTTTTTAAAGATAAATATTTTTAAATAATTAGTTTACTTTAGTCGGAAATACATTTATATTACTGATTTGTGTTTAAAAGAAGAAAAATCATAACAAAATTATTAATAATTATCAATATGAAATTAGCAATTTATTTGACAAACGGGGTAGAGAAGTTTCTACAATTATGAATTGATTTAATAATGAAATAATAAATAAACACAAGAAAAATCTTTATGCCTTTAAAAAAATCATTGAATTTATTCGAATTGTAAAATAACTAAAGAAAGAAAACGTTTGCTCGGTGAATAGTAGCAACGTCTCTAGACTTTGCAGTGCGTCTAAGAAAATGAATCACTTAATCCATAAAAGCCCAGCCAAGCCATACCTAAAACAGTTAGAGCATATGCGCTACCCTACAATAATGGAAAAGACACTTTCAGCTTTTTCCTATTTTGTTAAATTTCTCAAGAAATACTTGAAGGATTATTTTGTAACTTTAGAAGTGCTTAATTCATGCGATTTTTCATACCTTGCAATAAGGTTTAAATATGTCAAAGCTTTGAGGGACCGACTACAAATTACGAAAGAAAACAAGTATTTTTGAACACCCTATGCCAGAAAATCCAGCAACAAGCTTGTAACTTGTATCGAATACTCTGATTGTTATTTGCTATGATTGCATATAATTTTATAAGCTTAGCTTAATTAGCGTTCATAGTACCCTCTTAAGTAATCATCTCAAAATATTAAAATAAATCTGATTCTATAATTTTGATTTACATGAAGTTGGACCGCAAAAGAAGTTGACTACTATCCTCTTTTATATTTTATATACGTAATAAAATGAAAACAAGATAACAAGTTTCATTGCTAAAAATATGGATTTTTTTTAATTAAAAAAAAAGTCTCTTTAGTACGACCCCCATTACAGCGACTCCCCTTTATAACGATATTGCTATTCCATAGACACATACTTACTTTCATGTCAATTGGAACATCCACACTGAATCTTTCATTCCGAAATAGCGACTGAAATTCAGTCCAATGAATTAGATTATATAAACCATTATTTTCCTTGACACAATAAATGCTAAACACCTACACACTTTATCAATTAGCTTAAGAAAAAGATGCATGCATGAAAGCATGCAATAAATTCATTAATCAAAGTCGTTTGAAAATTGTATTCATTCTTTTTATGAAATGTATGGTTTACTATCGGGTTGAAGCACGCCGTATTCACAGTTATCTTTAATCACAGTTATTTATCAAAAATGACCGCCCTAAACCAACGCATTATTTTTAAGGGTACTTTTACGTAATATTAATATAGAAAAATCGTTGTATTACTTACTAATTTTTCTGTTGGAATGGTCAAGGTTTTTTCTTTCTTACGCTATGAGTTAATATTCATGGTATTTTCACCCGATACAAGAGGGTTGTTTTATCGAACGTCGATTGTATTAAATAAAATAAAATTATCATTGGCTATTCGTGATGGTTTAACATCATTTGATGGTCACCATTATCCAACATTTTCTAACACGTGTTCATAGTTTTTGATATGGAAACAAATTTACATCATTCCACGATGGAACATGCTACTTAAGTACTATGATGATTAACCATCAAGAAAAGTTTGATTTGCGTGAACCAACAATCCATGACGATCCGCGATGGTTCCAACTATACATTACCATGATGGTTTCATGGGAATTCGTGATGGTTCTCAGGAATATACCATCAAAACAATTTAGGTTTCTTATATTGGACCATCAAAAATCAGTCCGAATTTCTACATTGGGGTGATGGTGGTCCATGATCATTCCAACATTTGATTTCTAAGACACTATGATGGAAATTTCTATTGGTTCAACATGAACAAACCATCAAAACAAGTTGCTATTTTTATGTTTGGCCATCATAAATCAGTCCGAATTCCTACATTGAAGTGATGGTTACTTATGTTAAATGGTTCATGATGGAATTATTGATGGCTACCATCAAGATTATGCTGGTCCATCATTGGAAAACCATCAAAAATTCTGACTAGGGGATAGCTCTATTTATCACACACACACAGAGTCGTCGCTAGATTCTGCGAGGCATTTAAATTATTCCATTTCTACACTGCCCCCTAGGAAAACTTATCTTCTAAGATTTAAGATTTTTCGCTTATATTACTAATGATATGCGCTATTTAAATGGCAGTTGATGAAGACTATTAAAACCTTGGGTGAAACTTTAAGATGTTTCGATTTCTCTCTGTTTCATACGGCAACCAAACAAGTTTCGGAACTTCTTCCATTTAATTTTATTTCATAACCATAGTTGAACAGCCCACCCAATATTTTGGGGTTTAGGACTACTTATGTTCCAATTCCGTAGTCTTGTAATTCTGAATTCAATTCAGAAGATAAGGGAACTCCTGGAACAAGTATTGGGAGCAATTTGTCCTCGTGGAAAACTTTTAGATGGAACTAAGCCACATTTGCGTTAAGTGGAGAGGAAAACCCCGAAAGCCTCGCACGGTCAGCCTGAAGGCAAGAAGACTCTAACCCATGATCCATCTACCACTAAGGATACTGTACGTCAGCACTGTGATCGGTGCAAGCCGGATGCGGAATTCGTATGGACCAGTCATCGCTGCGATTTGAACCCGGTTCAGCTCTTTGGAAGGCAAACGCTCTATCCCCTGAACCACCAAAGCTCATACATCCTCCATTGTGATTACCCAACATTCGCTTAAATAAAGCCGACTTGAAATGAGTATCGAATAATGAAAAGAAGCTTACCTTCCTGGACAGTAGAAGAGACTGTAAGCACGTCATCCCTTATCCAAGATGTGACGGTGACGTAATCTTTCACGAAACTTGGTACGTGACAAGTTAGCACGGCGGTGTTCCCTCGGATAACGTACTCGTCGTACACCTGAACCTCATAGTACTGTTTCACCACTGCAAAAGTAAAAAAGATACCAATTATAACTTCAATGGTCAAACGAAGTTTTAATGTAATGGTTCAAAAAATATATAACAAGGAAGACAAATGTAAAACATTTGAAGCTAAATACAGTCTTACCTCTATTTAACGAAATCGCTTAATCCCGATAATTAGTTCGCTATATGGAAAATTCGTTAAATAGAAAACCACCATTTGAAATACTTAAACAACACATAAGAATTTTTAAATTCAAAAACACTAGACATAATTAAAATAGAAATTTATAAACCTTTATCTTGTAAATTATTATCGACTATCGAATTGTTTCAAATGATTTCATCATATGAGGATTTCTTCATGATTTCCGTCTTCATCTTCGTCACAATTTATTAATGTATGGTTTTTATTTTTCACATTGTTCGAAATATCCGATTAAGTTAATGTTTCTGTGGTTGCAGCTTCAGAATCAATAAAAAGGAAATCATTAATCAGTACATCATCGTTAATTTCGTGATTCTCTCTTAGCTGTACCCACATTTTTTAAGTTCTTCGAAAGGAATATCATCCTAGCCATCTGCACTGACTAAGAATCCAGCTTTAGCAAAACTGTTACGAATGATATGATCTGTAACATCATAGTTCCAAGCTTTAGAAATTTCTGTTATGCTTTCTGGTAAATTGATTCTTGTCATAGATTCCTGTATGAAATGCAAATAAAAAGGGATTTTACTGTATTCTCTATAAGTGGCTTCGAAAATCAATTCAAGGTCATTTCCCAGATAAAATGCATTATTAAGTTTAAAAGGTTCTGAAATATTTTGGGAAATAGGAAAAGTGGATATCAAAGAAAAGTTCGTTAAATAGAAAATTCACTTCGCTATTTGGAAAGTATTTTACGAAGAAATTTCCAAAATGTTCTCGCCAAAAAAATCGCAAAATAGAGAAATTCGCAAAAAGGAAGTTCGTTAAATAGATATTCGACTGCAAATATTTCACATATTTTAGGGTGCATATCAATTATTATGTATATTTATGCAAACAACAGCAAAATATTTCAACTTCAACGAATTCTAGACGCAATTTCTATCATTGATGAAGTATGGATCTCGAATCGCGCGTTAGAGAAATCACTTTATGACACTCTCCATTCGTGACGATTTTATCGTAAATTCACGTAATTATCAATCGCTTTTTCGGCAGTATTACTACGGGAACTCGATTTTTCTTCGAATACAATAATATGAATAAGCGAAATTTTCATAACATATGCATACACTACTAATCTATCATCCACGTGTATGAATTTGGTCAAATTTTTAATGACTTGAATACAGTCGTATGCTCGCAAATGACGTCATCATAGGTATATCATTTGAAGATTCAGAAGCCAATCAAGTTCAACACACGCACGTGACGTCGATTACAGGCATCCACTTAAATTAAGGCTCCTATACTATCAGAGCTGACCCATCAAGCAATATTGGAGCAAAAAAAAAAATGGCTGTCGTGCCATTGAGGAAGGAAGGAGGAAGTCTCTCTACGTAACTTAAAATATTAATTAACGTTGAGTTAATTAAATAGAGAGCCGTATAGCAAATCAAATTTGTTGAAATATAATTCTTTCTAGTCTACTTCTTTTACTTAACTTTAATTTATTATTTGTTCATGTATTTAATTGTAACTGTTAGATATTTTTGTTTTGTGTACCTGGCAATTTCGATGCATAATTAGTTTGTTTGCGTTCTACATGGCTTCGTGCCTGTCTTTGTGTTATTATATAGTGGTGGAATTGAAATATTTGTGAAAGATTACAGGCTGCGTTACTTAAGAGAATTGGTACTCGACAGGCTTGGCTTCCTCGAAGTAGAATAAAAAGAACAGTTGCTAGCGTAAGCAAAAGCCACGTTTCAATAACCAATCAGGATCGAGATACCCACACTACGTCACTTGCAGGTATCCCATTCAGGGGCTCTAACTTAAATGATTTAAATCACGTAGTTAGGCATAATCACTTCACTTCTTCTCTAGTTACTAAATTCCTAACTGTCGCAATGCGCCACCATGCTGACGTAATCCCAGATTCAATAGAATTCTTTTTAACTTGGTTCCTAATAAACTAAACGGGTGCCACTGTAACAACCTTTCACAGCGGTTCGAATTTCTTGGCAACAACATATGTCAGAAATTGGGTTTCAAAAGTTTATTGCATGGCATTACACTAGGACTGGCAGAATAAAAAAGAAGCGCTTCCCCAGGCCCATATACTTAGGGACCGATCAAGACAAATTCAGGCACAAGGTTCACCAAATTCTCCGGGTCCCTTACAAAATATTTTGAGTATTGGGACAAATTTGCTTTCGTGGAAGACTTTTTCGTCAGCACAGTGGTCGGTGCAAGCCGGATGCGGAATTCGTATCGACCGGGATTCAAACCCGGTTCGCCTCAATGGAAGGCGAACGCTCTATCCCCAGAGCCATCACGGCTCTGCTTGTGAGAATTCAACTTAGTAGGTATAGAGACTCAGATCTTTAGTGACTATAAGCTGTAGAGAATTTCTTGAAATTTGCAATTCTGATCCACGACGCCGAATCGGACATTCCTGGATTTTAATACTCTCGCTTGTATATGATCATTCAAACGGCTTGTTTTAGGACGACCACTGTTTTTAGCCGACCCCAATCAATCCAGTCTCTCCGGATTTTTTAGTAACATTTGGCGAAGTTAAATAATTATACCGATCACATTTTGCACGAAATTTAAAAACTGAAGCAGCCCAGCTTTAATTAGTTTCGAAGTATTCATCCACAGTCAAACCGCGTTGTTCTTTCGCGCAATGCTGCATCTTTGCAACAAACTGTCAAATTGTTTTCTTCTGCCAGCAATAAATCAAGAAATCACACAGCATTTCAAAAATAGGGAAACACTTTCCAACTATGTCATTCTTTTGAAAAACTATCATGAGGTAGAAGAAATACAAAAGTAAGTCTGAGGTTCTGTCCCCTGTAAAAGTATTTCTCCTTTATAAAAGTATTCACAAGGAAAAAACAAAAAAACTATGTTCTTTTCCGATGGCGTCGTGTTCCAGTTAGCACCCAACAACTTACTTTTAAACAACATATTTTTAAGTCTTGTTATTCTAATAAACGTAAGTGAATTATATAAAGACACGTATTTCAAATATTGATAGTCAATATGTGGAATACATGTTTTTATTTCGTAAATATTATATATATATATATNTATATATGATTTGCCAATTTCGAGTCCCACGAAATTCGCTTGAAGATTTGCTCAGAGTAGATAATTGACGGTCAGAATAGGTACTTGAAGAGTTGATACTTGACGGTCTCGAGAGTTTGCTGAAGTTGCATGCTAATACGTTAAAGCAAATTAGAAAAATATCCTAGGTTTATTTGAAACACAACATTTTACAATACAAAATTTAATCGACATCCCTATAAATGTTTGGTCGCCAGTGGAAATTTCATGCCCTAAATAGGTATTCAAAAATTGTCTAAGTCGTTGCAACTATTTTTTTTCCTTCTTGTTTTTTAAACAGAAAGTGTGTTATGACCAAATGCGTATTTCAACTAAGAAGTGCAATTCTATATACAGTCGGACTTCTATTTAACAAACTTCCATTTTGCGATTTTTTTTCGAGGAACCAAGAACATTTAGAAATTTTAAAATAACTTCAAAATAGAGAAGTGAATTTTCTATTTAACGAACTTTTCGTTGAGATCCACTTTCCCTATTTACAAAAATATTTCAGAACATTTCAAGCTTGTTAACGCATTTAATGGGGTAAATGACCTTGATTTTCGCAGCCACTTGACTTTTGTAGAATGCAGTAAAATGCATTTTCTTTTCTTGCTTGCATTTCAAACGAAAAACTCAGACAAAACGGATTTTATTAGAAGCAATTAAATTTAAGAAAGCGTGTGGTAATGTAAGTTTAAAATTAATTTTATGATAAATGCAGCTCTAATTTTATGCATAAATTTAGGGGTTTTTTTAGTTAAAAATGTATGTAACATGATAGTGTAACACTGGATAATATTTTGCTGTATTCTTGCCTTCTATGCAGATTTCTTTTATGGTTAAGATTTATAAAATAAATAGTAGATACTAGTTTGCAAGACAAAGGTGCATCAATTGCAATTTTAATTATGTCTAGTGCTTATGAATTTAAAACCTGTTTTGTGTTGTTTAAGTAATTCAAAAGGTGATTTTCTAATTAGCGAATTTTTCCATATAACGAACTTACAATTTGGGTTTAGCAACTTCGTTAATTAGAGGTCCGATTGCATTTACTTAAAATTATTTTTTTTCAAATCAATGTGTTATTCCCCTGATCGTTTCTCAGAAATGGCATCTTGTGTCTTATTTAATAATCTGGATTTTGGAGGTGAATGAAATGAAAATCTTGTGAATATGGGGGTGGGAGAGTGACCTTGACTCAACCCTTGCAGGAGAGAGAGTAAAGATAAAAATAGAAACTACGCACGCTGCAGTCATCGATTTTCTCCCCCTAACCCCCCTTCTTATTTGGCGATCTTTATTGCAAAAGCTCTATTTCCGAAACAATCTTGGTGATTTCTCTTCTACTAGCACACAATGACATTAAAAGGCTGGAAATTACTATCAAAAACGATACTTTTAAAAATTGAATGAACCTATAAGAAAGAGAAGTGACGTAAAATATTTTTTTTAAGGGCGAGAATCTGGGATCACGATTCGATTTAAAGAGCTTTCTGTTCAAATGTTTCGTGATGGTGCGTAGCCAAATCTTTCATCAAAAATAAGCATCTTTTAAGTACTTTTTAAGCACTCAAAAAATATTTTTAAGCACTATATACATTAACAAAATGCAAAAAAATTCAAAGACTTTACATGATCATGATAAAATAACTAGTTTCTAAAAAAAAGAACTCTTTTCTTGATTATATTAGCAATATAAAATGAGCAATAGATTTTTTGGTTCAATATCAGAGGGTGGAAAATAAAGCATGAA